TTCAGAGCCCCAAACAGTGATGTGTTTCAAATGTCTCTCAGAAATGCATATGTTGAGCATGGAAATACAAATTATATGTTGGATATTTCAAGGATCTTGAAAAAAAAAGTTTGGATTTTAGGAAAACGGAAATGGATTCAGGTCAATACAAGGTGTGGCCCAGGGTCATGAGCACTGAGGTCACTTCTTCCTGAAATGCCAATAGATGATGGAGAAGAGAGCAGTGGATAGATTTAGACTCGGAGAATCAGAGTTTCTTTCCAAGCTGGTGACCTTGGGCAATCAATCACCAAGCATTTGGGGGTTTGTTGGCTTGTTTTTCACTGAAAGGGCAGAGATTCATTTATAATTGCTATTATTCCATTCTGCAAGTATCTCCCAAATTAAACTTAGAGTCAGCTAGCTCTTGAGGTGTTCACAGAATTCTTCATTCTTATCCAGTCATACTTTAGGAAAATCAGTTAATTCGTTCTGGAAACTCCATGAAGAACTTGCAGTTTTAGGCAGATAACAAGCATTTATTAAACACCTACTATGTGCCAGGCACTGTGTTAGGCACTGGAACGAGTCATCTGACCTCTGTGGGCTTCAGCTTCCTTCTCTGTAAAATGGAGTGCTGGACTGGATGGGATGGTTCCTTTTAGCACTTAAATGCTTATTCATTCAATTTCTTCACATATAAAGGAATTAAACTAGTTGGTTTCCGAGGTCACCATACAATTGTCATCATGAAAGTGGTTTCTAATCCTTAAAATGTCATATAAATGTGAGCTTAAATCCACCTCTGTTATTCAGTCATTTTATGTCGAGTCAGACTCTTTCTCCATTTGGGCTTTTCTTGGCAAAGATATTAGAATGGTTTAGCATTTCCTTCTCCAGCTCACTTTACAGATAAGGAAATTGAGGCAAACAAGGTTAAGTGACTTGCCCAGGTCTACATAGCTGTTAAGTGTCTGAAGTCATATTTGACTCAGGAAGATGAATCTTCAGTACTCCAGGCAGGGTACTCTATCTGGTGTGCCACCTACCTGCCCCCACCTTAGGTGTCAGCAAAGCAAGAAGCCTGACTCCTGACTATTTTGGGAGCTTTCAGATTTGTAGGGAAGATAAGACTTTACTGACACATATGAGGATCTAAGGGGCTTTCTGTGTTTGCTTGTCTCCAGGACCTGCATTGTTAACCTGCAATAACAGAATCCTAGGCTTGTAGAATCTTAAGAAGGGACATTAGAGGTCATTTAATCCAACCCTATTATTTTATAAAGGAGAAAACTCAGACCCAGAAAAGGATGCCATGTCTTATCCAGGGTCACAGAGCTAGTTAGCAACAAAGGTACTGAGATTTTTGCTGTTCTGGTATTGTAGGGTTCTCCCCCAGCTCCTTGGCAGAGGGAGGGTTGGACGGAGGCAGCTTCCTGCATGCTGCATCTCTCTATGCACTGGCCAGCTTTTCATGATATCACTGGAAAAACTTGCAGACTGGCTCATTGTCTTAGTGGAGTCCTCGACTTCAGGGACAAAACTCCCAGAGCCCAGTGGCAATCTGGGACTGCAGCCCACTTGGGAGGTTGGGGTCCTGTTCCCAGCCTGGGAATTTAGGAACCAAGACCTTGGTTGTCAAAGGCCCCTTTTCAAGAGACTGTTTGATTTTTCCCTAAGGGTGGGCATGAGGGGGAAGCTAAATGGTGTGCGTGTGTGTGTGTGTGTGTGTGTGTGTGTGTGCGCGCGCCACATACTCACATACACAGGGGGAAGAAGAGAAGAGTATCTTATCCAATTTTTTTTTCCGACTCTATTTCCTCTGCAGAGTATAATTAGCATTGCAGAGGCAGGGTGATATAGTGCGGAAAGCACTGGACTGGCAGTGAGGAGACCTTAGGGGTAACCATGCCACAGATTAGCTGTGTGACCTTGAAGAAATCAATTTCCCACTCAAGACCTCCATCTGTGCACCTGCAAATGGGAGGTGTCAGAGTAATTTCAATTCGACAAACATTTCTTAAACATCTATGTGCTAAATGCAGGAGATAAAAAGAAAAAAATCAAACAGGCCCAGTCCTCAAGGAACTTAGACTCTACTAAACATGTTAACAAATAGGTTCAAAGTGTATACAAAGTAATACAAAGTAGATGATCTATCTCTTCCCTCTCTTCCAGCTCTAAATTTGTGTTTTTATAACATCTGACAATTGTTTTTTCACCAGAAAGCCTAGGTTTCAGATGCATAATTAAAATATGGCTAGCCTCCTCAAATATTATAGGAAAAGTTACTGCCTGGAGAAAATAGAATTGGTCATTGCTAGTTGTAGAGAAAATGTCTTGTAAAAGGAATCTGGAGAGAGTTGCTGTTTTTCCTTTTCCTTTTTCTTCCTCGACATCAGGACGGTGATGCCATGACTGGCAAGTGAACTGGATTTAAGTGAGGGAGGGCTGTGCAAAGTCACCAGACTCACTCTTTCCTCTGGAGCCATCTGGGTCCAGTGGAAAGATGTAGAGCAGGACTACTGGAGATGGCCCCAGATGCAGTGGGAGACCCTGCCCTTTTTAAGTTAAGGTCTTTCCCAGGTCTCAGTTTGACTGAGGCAACATGCATTCAGTGATTAGGGCTAGGTAAGAAATAAGGCAAAGAACTGCCTCTTTTACCTAGTAGATTGTAGGTTCCTTTTAAATTAGTAGATTGCAAGTTCCTTGAGGGCAGGGCCTGTTTCATTTTTTGTCTTTGTATCTCCAGCATTTAGCTATACAGTGGATGTTTAATAAATATCTGTTGAATTGACATTACCCGACACCTCCCATTTGCAGATGCAGAAATGCTGGCCTTGAGTGGGGAACGGATTTCCTTGAGGTCACACAGCTAATTTATGGCACACTTACCCATGAGGTCTCCAGGCAGCCAGTCCAGTGCTTTCCCCACTACATCCCACTGTCTCTGTAATGCTAATTCTACTCTGGAGAGGGTTGAGCAGGACAGTATGCCTTGCTCTAGCGTTGTAAATGGCTCCCTCTTGCCTCTAGGGCAATATACAAATGGCCCCATTTGGCATTTAAAGCCTTTGCAAGCTGCTTCCCACCTATCATTGCAGATTTATTTCATGTTATTCCCTTTTACACACTCACTCTATGTTCCAGCCAAAAATAACCTACTTGGCATTCCCTCACATATAACATTACAACATTACATTATAACATTACACAGCAACATGCATCATACAGCATTACGACATTACATCTCCCACTTCCATGTCTTTGTATAGACTCTTCCACATGCCTGAAAAGCTCTCTTCTGTCCTCCATCTCATAGAATCCTATCTTTTTCATTGTACATAGGGCTAGGTGCCTCATTAGTTCTAATAATGAATCCTGTGAAGTGGTTGCATTATTTGAATTCATACTGCACATTTACATTGGGTTGTAACCAATGACCATATTCTACGATATTATAACTTTGAACAGTGTGAATTCAAATACATGTGACCACTTCATGGGATTCATTATTGGCACTAATCTGGGATCTAGGTTTAATAAACCCTTGTTGAATCAAATTGTATTGGGCATGTAGGGGATGCTGAATACTATATACTTGACTAATAATTGAGGAGAAGAGGTAAGCTACTGCTGTGATCTCAGCTTGGGATGTAGTAACAAGATTATAGACAGGGTTGGGAGAAGTCTTATGTACCAACCATCTCATTTTACAGAAAAGGAAACTGAGGCCCAGAGAAGAAGCCACATAGGGAGCAATGGGCAGATCCAGAATTGGAAGCTGAGTCCTCTTGCTGCAAATGTAGTGCTTTTACCATTCCATCCCTGATGAGCTCAGCCTTATGTTGTGCTCGTTTTAGCTTGGTTCTGGAAACAATAAGAGCTTGGACAGACTTCTAGATGCTCACTCTTCATTAACTTGGTTGTGAAGTTTGGACCTCAGTTTCCATACTTTTTTTTTTTTTAGGCAATAGGGGTTAAGTGACTTGCCCAGGGTCACACAGCTAGTAAGCATCAAGTGTTTGGTCTGAGGCTGGATTTGAACTCAGGTCCTTCTGACTTCAGGGCCGGTGCTCTATCCAGTTCACCACCTACCTGCCCCAGTTTCCATACTTTTAAACCCCACAGATTCACACCTTCCTTCCCGTTCCAAAATCAATAGCCAGCAAAATGAAAAGAGAAAAATCAGGCTTCTTCCTATTTAGTCTTAATTTGCAGTTTTCCTTGAGGAAGAGGGACAGATGTTAAGTTTCCTGACCAAAGTTAGACTAAGTTCCAACGCTGAACTGACTACTGTACACCCAGCCCGGAACTAGCTTGGGGAGCAAAGGGATAAAGACCCAAGTCCCCACCCTCAGGGAGTTTGGAGAGATTTCTGCTAAGGGAGAGAAATTTTAGACCTATGGAAAAGAGAATAATAACAAACCAGAGTATGATAAGTTCTTAATGTGGTATGAGAAATCAGGAAGCTGGGATTTTCATATGAAGCAGAGCCATTTGTCTTTACAAAGATGGGACTTTAATTAGTCCTGGAAAATGAGCAGGATAGGAATAGAGGAAGAGGAGGGCACTGTTGTCAAGGAGGAGGGGTGGGGAGAAGTGTACAACCTGAGCAACGGAGTGTGAAGTCATTTCTTTGAGCACCTAGGCCAGGAAGGAACATGTTCTTTAGCATAGTTCCATTCTTGAGGCTTATAAATCCCTCTTGGCTGTGAATCTGTGAAACCCGAAATACTACAATCTCAAGAAAATTGCCATTTCAGGTAGTCCAAAGGGCAATGGAAAGATTGATGGTGAAGGGTATTAAAGAGGTAATGAAGGAAGGGCATGTTTAATGGGAAAAGTAGATGGGCCCACGCATGTAATAAGATTGAGAAGTGATGTATGGACAAGCCAAGCAAATCAGTCATACCCACAAAAACATTAAATGAACCAGAGGAAGGCCTCTGACATGTGGAGTTAATGTTCTGGGAACAATTTACAGAAAGACAATAAGCTTGGATCAGAATTACACACACCTGGAAGATTGTCATAGCTCTGTCACTTGCTACCTGCATGGGCCCGTCACTTAACTTCTCTGGGTCTCAGTATTCTTATCTGTAAAATAAAATAGTTATACTATATGAATGATCTATAATGTGCCTTCCAGCTCTAAAGCTACAGTCCTCTGAGGAGAAGTCATGGATGCAGGGATAGGCTGGAACCAGCTCAAACACTGCTCAAATTTTCAGTATGAGCATTTAATTTAATTCAGTTCAATAAACATTTAATAAGGACCTACTTTGTGGCAGGCACTGTGTGTGCTAAACCCTAGGAATACAAAAAAAAGGAGCAAACGACAGTCCCTGCCCTCAGGGAACTTACAGTTTAACAAGGGAGACAACATGCAAACAAATATATACAAAGCAAGCTATATACAGGATAAATAAGAAATAATTAAGAGGGAAAATACTAGAATTAAGAAGAGTTAGTGAAGGCTTTCCACCTAAGAAATCTGTGCATGATTGATTTATTGGATTTTTTTTTAATTTTCTAGACTAAAGAAAATGATGGGGGAAGACGTTAATAAGGCAGATTAAATCTAAAATGTGTGCTTCCATTTTTTCCCCTGAGAGCCAGTTGTTAAACATTTACCAGCACATACCTGCCTGGATACATTTCTATATCCTTAAAGGAAAAGAGTACCAAATTCTTGAGCTCCCCTGTCCAGTGGCATTAAATTGAGTCCCTCCTATGAACAGATCCTTAGGCTGAAAGGCACCTGCATCTGTCAATCCACTCAGTGCCCACCCTTGGCAATATCCACCTTCTATGGTAGCTATCATTAGATCTGGAATTCGGGAATTGTGTGTATGCTATTGCAAGGGTATTGTACCTAAGGCAAGTATGTATCTGAGATGGGAAGGCTGAGATGAATGGAATTTGGAGGGCAAATGAGCAGGAGAGGGTCATCCACTGCCTTCCTCCTCACTACAAAGCCCTGTGTGCTCCAAGAAGGAGGAAAATATTGAGACTGAGAATTAATTGGCTGAAAAAGCCTAGTTTTGTTTTATTTTTTCTTTTTGTTGTGTTTTCTGCCTCTTAATTTTACATTTTAAAAAAACCACAAAGGGGAGAGAGTTGAGTACATCCCCATTGTTTCTGCCATTCGGAAGAGGAAGGTTCCCACTGTCTCTGCCCAACAATGCCGGAGCCTGGGGCTCGGCTTGCATCACCAATTCTTAGCCCGGCCCCCAGTTCCATTCCCAGCTGATGGGGTTGCCATGCGGGTGCATTAGTTCAGTACACACCGGTTGGGAGTGACAAGAGTCCCCTCCCATCAGCCAATGAGCTACGGTCATCGAGGTTCCATTTTAGATTTTATCAATGTGTGCCTGTTGCCCGGGCAACCAGAATCAGCCTATCTTAGTGAGGCTTTATCTGGCTGGCTTTTATAGCTGGGAGCTTCTCCCCTACCCCACCCCCCAAGAGCACCATGTGGCTCAGATGATTAGTTTTTTTTTCTTCTTCACGCAGGCCTAACTGGCAAAGTGTGCTGGGAATAAGATAAGCATAATTTATCTGAAGAGTGGGGAGGGTGCTTGCCTTCTTTTCCCCCTCCTCGATGGTCCCCCCACCCCCGCCAGCCCCAACTCTTTCCCTCAGCATCATAAGGGAAGGGCAGATCAATCATAGGTGTTGGCAGGCACCGACGATGAATGGGGCAGATATGATTCACTCCAGGAGATCTAGCTGAAAAGAAAGAGTTGCGAGCTGTGTCCTTGGGAACTCTGGAGTTTGGGCCGGGACAAGCAAACAGCCAACGGCTGCTGGCAGGACCGCAGAGGGCAACGAGCCTCGTCCGGAGCTCAAGGGGATGGGCTTGCACTTCTCCTCTCCCAGGGCCAGGTGCAGTGAGGATGGTGGGCCGGGGGAGGCCACGGGTGGCCAGTGACCGGCGGCTCTGGGTGGCCCCGGACACGGCCCGGTAGGCTCCCAGACCCTGCACTAACTAACGGGAGCCAGGAGGCAGGCAGAGTGTGGCATCGCCCTGGCATACCTCGGGTGGAGATGTGAGTAAGAAGAGCTTGGCAGAGGGGAGCCGCAGGCGAGCGAGCGAGTGCAGAGAGCAGAGCAAATGCATTTGTAGGCTTTGTGTGCCCGTCTCTTTGTATTTCAGAAGTGTACTGTACTGTGGCGGCCAGGGCTGGGGCCATGTGCCGGGGAGGCTGCAGGGACCGGCCGCAGAGCTTAGGGACTGGCCACTCAAGCTTGTAGCCAAGAGGGTCCGGGTGGGAGTGGGGAGCCAGAAACCAGGCCGGGGTAAGTGGCCAGAGAACTTTCAGGTTTGGCTCACAAGCTCGCCGCCGAATCCCAATAGCAAGCTTCATATTCTTTGTGGAGAAACCGCTTTGAACCTACCTTCTCAGGCACAGAGGGTCGGCAGAGTATTTGAAAATGCTCAAGCTAAAGGCCTTCTGCTTGGATTACTGGCAGTTTCTGTGTCTCCAGCCTCTTCATGGGTTCTATAAAAGGTAAGGCAGCATTCAGTGTGATGAGTGTTGCAGGGCTGTGCTAATGCTAATGGATGGGGAGGGTTCATTTCTGTGCCGGAGAAATTGCTAAGAACACTTCAAAGTATACTGGTCAAAGTTCTTCCCCAAGGTGGGGATTCTTAACCTTGCAGGGTCCTGGCTCCCTCGAGTAGGTAGTCTGTTGAAATCTGTGGGCCTCTTCTCAGAATCATTTTTAGAAGCATTAAATAAAGTATCTAGATTACAAAGAAACCCAGTTATATTGAAAAATGGCTATCAAAAAAAAAATTTTTAAGCAAGTCCAGGAACCTCAGATTAAGCAACCCCTCACTGAGGAATAATTTGGGGAGGAATTTGCTGGAGAAGAAAGTGAACTTTCTTGAATGAACTTTCACTTTTTTATTCCAAGTTAAGCAAAGCTTTGACTTCTCAGCTCCATGCTCCCCTCCTGCCTGGTGGGCACCTCTGGCCTGCCCAACAGCAGCTAGTGCCTGGAAGGCCGGGGAAATTTGAGTGATGCTGATAAGCTGGCCGACCAGAAGCATTTTTGATAAGCAGTGCATTCATTTTGCGTTTCTCCTGCGGAATACAGTGCACCTCTCAGCCATTCCAGTGGGCTGACACTTCTCAGGGCCAGTCTGACAGGGAAGCCCAGGGTGATTGATAGGGAGAGGGGCGGTGAGGAGGGAAAATAGCTAGCTAGGTCCTCCAGTACTCAGGGACTTGTCTACACACTGGAGGAGCACAATGCAGCCTGTGGTGACCCTTAACCCAGAAGGCGATCCTTTCATTTGGGTGGGTGCCATCTTGGGAGTGTAGCTGGGAGGAAAAGTACGAGTTGGGGAATTTCGGGAGACATTCCCATACGTTAGAGAGGGGAGGCAGAGAAATACCATGGGCGGGATTGTTAATAAATCTTGCCTAATTCTTTAGAAATCGTATGCAGTCCATATGTACACCTTGGCTAAGTAACCATCCCCAGACAACAAAAGTGTATTCATGTGGCTCTTGGTTGGGACTGTATTTAACACAGAGTAATTATGGAGCACAGAGAGGAGGAAGGGATTATTCAGGCTATTCTGGGGGAATTAGTGTTTCCTGATTTCACATTCTGTGTAGTAGTAGCCATTAGCATGCAAGAAGTTCTGGGAAATTGGTGGGAGCTTTCTCTTCTTTTCCAATAGGCCTGCTCTGAAAAGGGTGTACTTGTCTTTTGCAAAGGCTTTGGGAACAGCAGGCAGAAGGGGGTTGGCTGGCTGGCTGCACTTGGGCCCCTGCCAGGTTAAGGTAGCACTCTCTCTTGAATTTTGTTATACTTCCTTAGGCAAAGGGAGGAGGGGTTGGCCAGTGGGTGTATGCGTGTACACTTCCATATGGCTTTCTTGTCTAGATGATAATGTTATTTCAAGCTATAACTTAAGAGTCTATATCAACCTAGCTCATCCTACAGTGGGAGATTAAATGAGTAGGTCCTACTTTCCTTAGACAAACCTAGACTTGTAGAGTCATAGAATATCAGAATTGCAATGGACCCCCATGGGAATTTAGAAATCATCTAATCTGACCGCTCTTTTTACAATGAAAGAAACTGAGTCCTGAAGACATACAGCAACTTGCCCAAAGTCAAAGAATTGAGTAAGAGTCAGGCTTATTCATTTATTTCAGCATTTGTATTAAATCCATTATTTATTAAAGTTCTTTATTAAAATTAAAGAAATCATTAAAGTCTACTGTAATATGCCAGATGGTATGCTAGGCACTGAGGATAAAAGGAAGAAAGAGAAAGAGAGAGAGGAAGGAAGGAAAGAAGGAAGGAAGGAAGGTAGGAAGGAAGGGAGGGAGGGAGGGAGGGAGAGAAATAGTGCTGTGCTTGAGGAGTTTTCCTTTAACTAGGATGAAACATGTGTACAGATAAATCAATAGAAAATACGTACAAAGTAGCTGCAGAACTAACAACTGGGGAGATGAGGGAAGGCCGTATATAAGGGATGGCATTTGAGCTGAGCCTTAAAAATGAATAGATTCCAAGGCATAGAAATGAAGAAGGAGGCAGTGTCTTTCAGGCATGGAGTATAGCCTGTGCTGAAGGCACAAAGGTAGGAGGAGATGGAATATTGTACACACTCAAGGGTGTGCTGGTAAATGTTTAACAACCAACTCTCCAGAAAGGGGAACTTTTTTTTTGTAGGCACAACGTACTTTTCAATTTAATCCTCATTATGAATATTTTCTCCATTACTTTCTTAAGTCTAGACAATCAGCAAAACACATAAGCCAAGGCTTGATCTTGGTTAGCCTTTGCAGATTTCTGAGGTATAAATGCTCACACTGAAAATTTAACAGTGGGTTTCCTACAGCCATCAGAGCTGACTGTCTAGCACAGCCCTGACATACATAGGACATCAAATAGGTCAGTTTGGAGGAACTTAGGGCCCTCATCGGGCAGCAGTGTGAGATCAGTCTATAAAGTTCTGTGCAGGACTTTAAATGCCAGATAGAGGAGTGGAGGTTTTATCCTAGAGGCAATAGGAAACTCTTGACACTTCCTGAGCAGGGGATGACCTGGTCTAACTGTTATCTGAGGTCAGTATTCTAACTGCAAATTAAGTGATCTCTTCAATGAATGCACCATCTCGTTGTGCCATCAGAGTACACGAGATCATCTCGATCATTTTTAACCAGGTTGGGATGGATGGTGGGCTTCCCTTGAAGTCAGGAAGATCTGAATTCAAATCCTGCTTTCGACACATACTAGCTATGTCACTAGGGACAAGTCATTTCACCTCATGGTGTCTCAGGCACTGAGACTCTCTGATTCAGTCAATAAGCATTTATTATATACCTACTTTGGGTATAGAAGGAAAGGCAAAAATAGTCCCTGCTTTCAAGGAGCTCACAGTTTAATGGGAGAGACACCGTACAAACAACTATGTACAAACAATATATATGCCAGATAATTGGAGATGATCTCAGAAGGGGGGGAAGGGAAAGGAAAGGAACAAGCATTTATTAGGCACCTACTATGTGTCAGGCGCTGGACTAAGCACTTTGCAAATATTATCTTCATTTGATCTTCACACACACACACACACACACACAAAAACACCACTGGGAGGTAGGTGTTCTTATCCCCATTTTAAAGTTAAGAAAACTGAGACAGACGGAGATTAAGCAACTTGCGCAGGGTCACACAGCTAGAGAGATTAAGGAAGACCAAGAAAGGGTTTTGGGTTTGTTTGGTTTTTTTTTGGTTTTGCCTTTTTAGTAAAGCAATCAGGGGTTAAGTGACGTGCCCAGAGTCACACAGCTAGTAAGCGTTATGTGTCCGAAGTCGGATTTGAACTCAGGTCCTCTTGACTTCAAGGCTGGAGCTCCATCCACTGCACCACCTAGGTGCTTTTTCTTTTTTTACAGAAGGACTTTAGCTAAAACTTGAAAGAAGCCAGGAACTGGAGATGGGAAAGGAAGATGGAGTGTCTGGTATGAGGAACAGCAATGAGGCCAGTATATCCCTGGATCCCAGAGTAGTGGAGAGTAGTGTTTTAAGGCTAAACTGTTTCTCTGCTAATCTTCATTAATGGAAGAAATTCCCCATTCCAATGAAATCCTGGGGCCAGAACAACAACAAAAGAAAAAAGTGGAGGCATGATCCTAATTGGGGGAAAGGGGGGTGCTAAAAAAAAAGCCCCTCCTCTTAGGGAATTTATTGTCCTGTAGGATCAAGGCACAGATCCCAAATCTTCCTCTCCTGGATTAAGCTTTGAAAACTAAACAAGTGTTTCCCACCCGCCCTCTCTTCCTCTGCTGAATTTAACTGTTTAAATTAGTGATTTCGCAGTTAAGAACATAAAAAGCAGGCAATGAAAAATTGACCACTTTTTAAATACTGGGTTCCTTTAAGCTGTTAATTATTCTTCATTAGGATCTTAATGTAAAAGATCCTTGGAGCTGAGCCCAAGGCTGATGCTGGAGGGAGGAAAAGAGCTGCCATTGAAAATGGAAAACTTTCCAAACCCTTGGCTTTGTCTCTTCTGGAGGGGGAGCTCCCTGGGCTTAGAGACTTTCCCTCTCTTTATCTATGTGTGTGACTCTGTCTGCAGCCCACCTATCTCTTTGTCCCTCATCAGCATTTCCCAATCAGTGGAATGAAAAGAGCGTTTTAAGTGGCTGAGCATTAGGCTTTCATAAATTGCAAAACTGCTGGGTAAGTTTTCTCTGTTGTAATTGTTCTTTCTCTCCATAGGATAGTTCTTTAAATGACCGTTATAGGGGGCAACTAGGTGGTGCAGAGGATAGAGTATCCGCCCTGGAGTCAGGAGGACCTGAGTTCAAATGTGACCTCAGACACTTACTAGGTGTGTGACCACGGGCATGTCACAACCCCAACTGCCTAAAAAAAAAAAATTACTATTATAGCTCCTCAGAGACAAGCCAGTCTTGGAGCCAAGGAAGATCTGTGTCCAAGTCTCTTCCTCTCACATACTGGCCATATAATCATGGGCAAATCACATCTCGGGGCTTTAGGCAAGTATCTAAAACTATAAATTGAAAAGAAGATGTTTATAACCATGGATAAATCACCGTTAGACTCAGGCAACTCTCTAAGACTTATCTACTAAATTGCAGTGATCTAAATTGGAGGAAGTTCCCAAACTATCAAATCCCAAATGTACTCCCAGTTCCTCTCAGAGGTTTTCATTTCCTCTTAACAAACAGCTTCTTACCTTGTAACGTCTTGGGGCTAGCCATGCGCTGTGTGGTCAGATACCTTCCCTCTTTCTTGGTGCATCCCATCAGAAGTGATTGGACCCTCCAGCCAGCCCAGGTGCCAATATTACCGGTTTCAAGAGTCCCCATATAATTCAGTCCTGCCCACACTTATCCAGCACCTGCTGTGTGCAGAGCACTCTGCTAGAGACAGAAGGGGATACAAAGTCTAGTGGAGACAGGTCCTTGTCCTCAGGGAGCTTGAATGCCCTACTTGCCTGAAATATTCCCTGTAAACTGATTTCTTATATTCTATATATTCCCTAACAGCAATTTCATTCATTCATTCATTCCTAAAGAGTAAATTCATAAAGATGAAAGAGCAAAGTCTTGTCCTGTAAGTGGTGAAGGTTGTACTGAGTCAGCCTCAGTGGAATCTCACCCTACAAATGAAAAATAGCTGAATTTCCACAATATGGGAGTTTTCCCATTTTAATTTTTGTTCAGTGAACAAAATTGATTTTTTTTCTCCCTCCCACCCAGAGTATTGGTTTTTAAAGGGCTCAGGCAAGCAGTGCTCTCTCTCTGATGGATAACAATCAGGAGCTAACAAAAATCACTCCTGATTTTTTTTCATGGCTCTTTAAAATGAATGCCCTGTTTAATCAGAATATTCCAGTGATGAGCCTTGGAGCATGTGGTGACTCTGTCTGGGGTTTGGAGTCACTCAGAGTATCTTTCTCATGCCTTTGGGCTAGGAAGACTGTATTACTGGCAGCTGGTGAGGAATCTCCCACATCCAGAGTTGTTACCGTTAGCACATTGTCAGAGAAAAAGCAGAAGGTGAGAAAATCTGTTGCTGGCAAAGAAAAGAGAGAGCCAGGTAATTTCCTCTCTGAGGTAACCTCTTGTCCTGCTCTGTCTTTTGCTTTCTGAACTAGCAGAGTTGCCTTCTCTCGTCTGGTTCCACTCTGGGTTCCGTAGGTGAGCCTGAGCTGACTGCTGACCCTGTCCTCTCTGTATCTGACTTGCTGTGTGTCTCAGTCTCTCTGCATCTTGTTTTCTCTGTCTCTCTATCTCTCTGTCTCTGAGTCTTTCTGGGTGTGTGTGTGTATGTGTGTGTCTCATATTTCCCTTTTTTCATATCTTCTTGAAGTCATTAAACCTGAAGAAGGGGGAAGGAGGTAATCATGCCAAGAGAGAGGGAAAATTAGTACCTCCATGCATGTGGAGAGTATAGCATATTATTTTCCTTAGCCCTCGGATAGGGAATGAGCACCCAGCAAGGAGGACATTGAGGTTAAATCATAGGATAGCAGGACTTAAAGACATTATAGGATCATAGATTTGGAGCTTCAAGGGACCTCAGAGGCATCTAATCCCACCCTTTCATTTTAAAGTAAGGAAACTGAGGCTCAGAGCAGTGGGTACCTTACACAGGCAATCAGCAGTGAAGTTCAAACTTGAGCTGACTCCAAATTCAGCACTCTTTCCCCTCCAGGAGGTATGGAATCATGGGAGGCCAAAACTGGAAGAAACCTTAGAAGAAAAGCTGTGAGAAATCTTGCCCCTGAAGAGTCGCAGCTGAGAGTGGGAGACGGAAGTTGTTTCTTCTTTTAACAAACCCAGCGCCCCACTCCTTGCTATTATCAGTGGGACCTCTGGCTAAGTGTCCCTTTTCTAGTCTCTGTGGTGGAGGAACTGAGACCCAGAAAGGGAAGTGTTCTGCTTGAAGTCACATCAGGAACAGAACAGCGCCCAGGACTTAGATTTCTGTATCTCATGGCTGTGGTGATATGTTGTAATTGAAAAGATTTTAAGAGGATCCCAGTAGTCACTGAGAGGCAGCAGAGCATAGAGAAAGAAACAATACTTAACTTTAAAGCAGGACATCTGGGTTCAAACTCTAGCTCAGTCACTCATTTATCTGTGTGACTTTCAGCAAGTTAGTCCCTCCTAACTTCTGTTTCCTCTTCTATAATTAATTTAAAATCATCGTCCTCTGGAAAGGCAGTGGTGTGTAGTGAACAGAGAATTTCCCTCACACGCGGAAAGACCTGGCAACAAGTCCTAACGCTGATACGTACTGGTTGTGTGACCCTGGTCCAGTAACTTCCCTTCTCAGTATATAAGAAGGAACATCTTCTATAATATATAAAAAAATAAACTATATAATATAGAAACTATATATAAACTTCTAAAAAATAAAAAATATATAATAATACAAAACTAGAAATAGAAATGAGAACATGGCGCTTTAAGGATCCATGTGGTCCCTCTCATTTGACTTAGTTTTAAAGTGTAACATTATTTCTGTTTTATTGTATCTTTATTTTGTTAAATATTTCCAAATGACATCATAATCTAGTACCCCCAAGGGGTGTTCCGACCAGCTCTCCAAGACTGTAAATTGCAGAGAAGGTCCTGACCAGCAATGGTGGAGGGAGATTTCTTCTCCGGGAGTTCCTTACATTAATGAAATCACAGGATCAGTAGCCTATGGATAATATATGTGCAGCATTTGGGGGAACAGCTGCAGCCTGGAAAGCCTTCGGAGTAAGGAGGGTCTGAAAGACTATGCAGTGCTATAGATAAGCAAACAGTATTTGAAGGGACATTAGGATGTTTTCACTGGGAAAAATTTTGGAAACTAGGTTCTTCTCCCTTCCCCATTCTCCCCAAACATTTTCCTCCATCTGAGACCCACAGGAATTATTGTAAATCAGCTTGTTACATGAAATAGACAACACCCAGTTGGCTCGGGTGAAGGGCTGATTATCCTGTTTTTCCCCTCCAGTGAGGAAACCCGATAAGATGCTCGTTCTGAAGTACTTATCTCTCCACCCAAAGCATCCCACTGGGTCCTTTGTCTAGTTCCCAGCCTAAACCATTTAGGTTATTAGTGGAACCACAGGTCCCTCATCAGCTGGCCTGTGACACAGAGTAACAGATGCTACTCTACGGATCTCTGGTTTTAGCCCTGCCTCCAGCAAGGCTGCTCAATCTATGGAGGGGGGAGGTAGCAACGAGGTGAAGCCAGAGGGCCTTCTTACCTGTATGACCTTAGCCACATTATTGAACCTCTCTGGTCCTCAGTTTCCCCATCTGTAAAACGAAGGGGTCAGACTAGGCAGCTTCTGAGGTGCCTGCCAGCTCTGATACACAGCCCCAGTTTTCACATAGTGCTTTGTCCAGGGAGTCGGAAGACTTGCCCAGTTCTACTCATTGCTTTGCCCTTACCTCACTCTGGAGAACTTAGGGCAGTTCACTTAATATCCCTGGACATTTCCTGCCCCACCCCCACCATCTGTAATATGGGGATAAGAAAGTCTGCCCTGCCAAACTCCTCAGGGTCATAATGAAATCAGTGTTTTGTGAAATAGGCTTAAGGAACTAACATCACCATGTCCACGTTCTCATCTGTGCTTGTCTACTATTCCTCAGAGCCCTCTAGAGGAAGGTTTAGTGCTTGCGTCCCACAGATGAGGAAAACTGAGGCATTAAGAACTTATGCTCCAGAAGCCCCACAGGGTTGGGGGCAAAGATGAGCTATGATGTCAGGTCCCCTGACTGCCTGACTTAGTGTAGTGGAGAGAGCTCTGAGCTTGGATTCAAGAAGGCTGGATTCAAATCCTGTCCCTGATATGTGACCATGGGCAGGTCGCTTCACTCTGAGCCTCAGTATCCTCATCTGTAACATGGAGATTATGACATGCTGTTGGTAGCATTCAGCACAGTGCTTGGCACAAAGTGAGCCCTTAATAAATGCTTGTTGACTGATTGAGTCACTGCTATGCCTCATGGAAACCCAGCAATTTTGGCATCTTCCTTGTTTCCCCTAGGGATGGCCAAGCAAGAAGCAATGAGAGGGCTAGTGGATGTGGCTTGGCTAGTGAATGGTGGTCACCATGACAACGGGGGAGGGCACAATTGGGAAAAGGAAGCCCTCAAATGATGTCATACAAGGCTTCAGGTGGAGGAGCCAGGAATGTTTAGCCTGGGGTTGGGGGGACTGCCTTCAAATCTGTGGAGAGCATCTTGTGGAAGAGGAATTTGTCTAATTCTGCTTAACCCTGAAGGGAAGAATGAGGACCAGTAGTTAGGACATACTGGGAGGCAGATTTCAATGTACTACAAGGTGATTTGACAAAAACCAAAAAGTGCTAGATTTATAATCTGAAAATCTGGGTTCTACTCCTGCCTCCCTGAACTAGCAACAGTGACTAGTTGTATGACATCTGGCAATTTTCTTAATTTTTCAGAACCTCACTTTTCCCCTCTACAAAACAAGAACATAAGAGGAAGTTAGAATAGATGATGGTTAAGGCCTTTTCTCATTTACATGCTAATTAAAACTGTCAAAATAGAATGGGTGCCCTGGGGTGTAGTGAGTTTCCTGTCATAGGAGGTATTTAAACATTCACTGGATGACTCTTTTCTGACATGATATAGAAGCGATCCCTGCTTTAAGTGCAGCTCACTGGACATGACTTAGATTTCTTCCCATGCTAGATTCTGTGACTGGCTTGAATACTCTCTCTGTTGGCTCAGAGGTTGGGGGAAGAGGTAGCCCACCCCTGGCTGTCCCCTGCTTTCTTCCTCCTAGAGTAGGGAGGCCACCCCTGAACTTTTTCCACCCTGAGCAAACTTTCTAGCTGCCTCTGAGAGCCTGAAGTTACATCCTGACCTTGCAGCCCAAATCCACTGCATATTCTCCTAGGGAACAAATAAATAGTTTTCCTTTGCCTGATAGTGACTTCATCCAGAACTGGCCTGTGTGAGTCACTGGCCATGCGGTCCAGCTCTCAAAGGAGGCCGTTAGTGCTCTGCAAACTCGCCAGGAAACAAGAACAGCTGAGTCTGTGCAAAGACCCCTGCAGATAGAACTCTCCTCCCTCACTCCTGCTTTGGCTTGAAGAAGTGACCTGAGGAGCAAACCCCGCAGGGGCCCTGAAGGCCCCAGAAATCTCCTTCCTACCTCGACTCCAAGTGCCTCCTGACTCCCCCCCCCCCTACACCAGGCAGTCTGTTATACCCCCATCTCATTCCCATCAACTCAACCTTTCTTAGCTGGTGAGCTGCTCTTTCCTGGACTCTGGGTTTAAAAAAAAAAACAAAACTCTTTTCCTGGCCCCTCAGAGAATTAGACGCTTTCTGCATTAGAGCTTTCTCCAACTACCAGGGTAACAGATATTGATCCATGAAATCCACAGATAATCCAAAATCATCCTTGCGGCTGTTAGCCTCATACCCTTCCCAAACAAACTGCTAATAATAGAATTGCCTGGTTTAGATTTTAGCTGTATTGATGTCTTCAGTGCAGCCTCTGGTGGGAGAGGCCATTAGCTGGCCTGGAGGGGTGTTAAAAAATAATGGAGGGGGGAGGTGGAGAGAGAAGTCTAGGGAAGCCTCCAAATCATTAGAAATGTGTATATTTTACTAGCCCATAGCTAGGATTCTGGAGCATTGTAGCAGGGAGAGGGGAAAGCAGATTGTAAACTACATAATTTGGGAATTCTAATGGTCTCAGCAGAGGCAGAGGGAGAGACTGGAGACACAGACACAGACACACACACACACACACACACACACACACACACACACACACACACACACACACACACCCCTCTCTTAGAGGCTGTGGCTAGAGTCAACCTGATTATTTAAGACAGAAGCACATCTTTTTTTTTTCCTCCACTGGAGGGTTGATTTGGGGATTGGGGACAGCTAGGTGGTGCAGTGTTGAACTTGGTGTGAGGAAGACCTGAATTAAAATCCTGCTTCAGACACTGAGTGACCCTGGGCAAGTCACTCAGTCCCTCAAGCCTCAGTTTTCTCATTTGTAAAATGGGGATAATAATAGCAACTACCTCCAAAATTTATTGCAAGGATTAAATGAGAGAATACATATAAAGTGCTTTGCAAGCATCCATATAAATGTTAGCTGATTTGAGTAAGAAGGAAGGTTTGTCTCAATTATCCCAATTCCCCTTTGCTTATTGCTTGTATAAATCATCTCCCAGGGCATACCATGAAGCTCCTCTCTTGCCCATCCTGGGAATAGGCATGTAGCCTTCAGGCATAGGACCTGGAATAAATGAGATTGAGCACAAGAGCTGAAGGTGTTGAAATTAGTGTGATGATGGCTCTGCTCCCTCCCGAAGAGCACTTAAGTGGCTGTGTAGGTGGTAGAGACACTGGTCTTGGAGACAAAAGGCCTGAGTTGTAGTTCTGGCTCTGCGGCTTCGGAGCTGTGTGACCTTAAACAAGTCATTTCTCTTCTGCAAAGCTCGGTTTCCCATCTGGAGTGCAGAGGAGACAATGGACGTAAAGTTCTTTGTAGCCAGAAATGACTATCACCATGTGAGCTGTTCTTGTTGAACCTCATCTCAGCCCTGGCAGGGAGGTGGAGTATAGTGGCAATGAGCCCAAACTCTGTAAGCCTCAGTTTCCTCATCTCTAAAATGGAGACAGTAGCACTTGTATCAACCTACCTACCTCGAAGGGGAAAGAAACACTTTGTAAACACTAGTAGTGCTGCAGAAATAGGAGTGGTTGGTATTACTGAAAGGCTTTCCTTTGGATTGCTTTACTTCTATCCTTCTTGCTCTCAGAGGCCATTGCTGGTGTTCTAATTGAGGAAATAAATTCATTGACTCATTCAGTAGAGCTGAAAGAGAGATTAGGATATAGTGTAGAGTGTTAGAGCTGGGAGGGTCCTCAGAACACAGAATGTCAGAGCTGGGAGGGCCTTAGAACACAGAATGTCAGAGCTGGAAGGGTCTTTAGAACAGAGAATACCAGAGCTAGGAGGGCCCTTAGAACCTAGAATGTCAGAGTTGGGAAAGACCTTAAAGAATGTCAGAGCTGGGAG